CACTCACTCTCACCACGCATACACGCCCCCCCGCCCCAATCCCCTCCCCCCTCCCGCACTCCCACCGGTCAACCGTCCAACCATCCCCCTTCCCCATCATCCCACGTACCGCCATTACTGCAACCCTGACCACCACCTTCGCACTCACTCACTCACTCACTCACTCTCACCACGCATACACGCACGAGCGCGCGTGCACACGCACACTAGCTCAGTCTCTCGTACACGCACGCTCGGTCTCTATCGCTCTCCTCTATCTTGGAAGAGCCAAGAAGAGGGTTACGAGAGAAATTATGTATGACTTTTACGAGAAGTGATATAAGACTGATTTACGTTGTGGTTTTTTTAAGGGTCGTTTCCTGATAGGCTTTATATATTTGGGGCTCCTTTTGCCCTTTCCTTCAATTTATAAGGATCCACCTTTATTTATTTATTTTTTTTTTTTAAAGCGGATTGACAGGGGCACAAAGTATCCCGAGCATCGCACGAATTCCAGAAGAGCGTAATTTCTCGTTCGTGTTCATTTCGAAAAACTTGGAGCGCCTTCATCATCTCCTTGTTAGTTTTCTTCATTTTCCTCTCTCTCTCTCTCTCTCTCTCTCTCTCTCTCTCTCTCTCTTTCTTCTACACTCATCTCACTTTTTTCTACACTCGACCGCGAAATATCGTCCCAAGATTTCGATACGCGATTGTTTATACAAATATCGTGACGCGTTACGTTTTATCCATACGAACCGTAATTAAGAATAATGTCAAGTACGTAAGTGACTTTGCTCGACGACGAGCGCATCCCCCGACAAGAACCCGACATTAATGAGAATTGGTATTAATATAATTAAATCGCTATCGCTATTTGATACATGTAATATATATATATATATATATATATATATATATATATATATATATATGTATATACATATTATTCCTGGCACGTATTAATTACCGAATTTTTCAAATACTTCGAGCCGAGAGACGTTACAAAAAATTTCGTATGTTTTGGAATACGAACGCCACCTTTACGCCGACGCTGAAGGCGCTGTATTTTTCGAGCGACTCGGTCGATAAGGAAGCGGCCGCAAATCCGAGCCTGCAATTACATCGCGCAAAAATAACATTGCGTCGGTTCTCGTTGAATTTGTCTCGCGTACTCTCGTATTAGGCAATTTGGTGGATGAAAGCGCTTTATAACCGTATTTACGTGCACGGTTTTTACGAAGGATCCTATTAGACGCGCTACGCTTAATAATTAACTTTCACCCCACTGCAACGCAATGGCGCGTATCTTCAACGAAGAAGGCGTCGATCGTGCACCAAAGGACCAAAGCGCAAATATAATAAAAAAATATAATAAATGCACAAGTACACAGCGTTGTTGTAATAAAAAATATGCGCGCACACGAGCTTTGCCATTGCTCGATAAGAGCGTGACCTGCACGCGGGGCACTTTTACTTTCGAACGCACGGAACAGTGATCCAGCGATCTTGTCGCAACGCAATGTCGACGACGTCAACGGGCATCCATCCCGCGACGGCTACGCCCGTATAACGAGGTCACAACTCGTGAAACTGATTATTCCCAGCGAGCGTCTTTACGCCAGTTCGCGGAAAAAACTAAATATACCCGCGCGTACCAAGCGAGATAATAAAATGATAAGAGAAGTTGACGCGCCACTGGCATTCCTCAAAGCCTTGTGATCCTGCCTTGTAACGCCAATCAATGTCGCTGTTGTGAGATTTGCTTGGATAAATCGTCGGTACGAGATGACGTCCGCTCGACTTCGAAGAGTTTGGCACTGCATCGCCGCCGATTTATTACAATGGGAGATGAGATTGGGAAAGGCACATTAGTGATTAATATATTACTTTCTCACCACCTCGAGACTGAATATATACGAGCTTGTGCGAGTTGTCACGTTGGCCATTTAATTGAACGTTCTAACTGATTCTAACGAACGGGGACAGTCTGGCAATGAAATTAACGCGAAAAGAAAGTGTAAACAAGAGCATCAAAATACCTATATCTCTCGTTACTTCTAAGAATTAACTGAAAAAAAAACGGCAACTGATCCGAAGCGTCCGATCGGTCTAAGTTTATTTAAGTATCGTAATTCATAAAGGATAAAAGTCTGTTATAAGACACTGGATAGAAACTGCATTTACGGTAGAAGTAATATTCGTCTCTTTATTGCAAAGTACCTTTGCGTTTCAGCTTGTCCAAACAATTTGCGTAGAATATGCATGCCGATGCACCGATGCACTCGCTTAAAAATGCACAGGATTGTCGATAATACGTAACACAATATTTTGTATATAATTAAGTATTTAAACGTGAGACCCTTTTTTTCAACCTTTGAACTTTTGTATATTTGAGAGAATATTACTTTACGATAAGGGATGGGATGGGGGGGGGGGGTGTATTGAATTGTCATTACTTATGAATTTACATTACATAATTGGTTGAATAACTTTGAATAATAAGTATTATTAGTGTGAAGGATTATGTTTTCATAATCTCAACATAATGCAAAAAAAAAAAAAAAAAAATACAAGGATAAACGTTGGTGATGCTTATTGATATTGGCAGTATATTTTTAATCTCTAACACTGCTCGATCAACAAGATTTATTTAAGTACTGACGCGTATAATAATTTAATCGTATAAAGTAATGCGTCGGAAACAATTTATACGCTTTTTTGTTGTATTTAATAAAGAAAAGTATTTTGATGGATCTCGTAAGATATGTGGAATGATAATAATATCTAGATAAAACAAAACAAAAAAAAAAAAAAAAAAAAAAAAAAAAAAAAAATTTAAAGAAAAAATATACACAAGAAGCTTTAACATTGACATCTTATAAATAATATTTATTGTACAAATATTGTACGAATTAAATGCTTTAAGCGACATATTCATTGCCACATGATTTCCTGAATCATATATATATATATATATTTAGATATAATAATACGCAATTGTTGTTGTTGTTGTTGTTGTTGTTGTTGTTATCATTGTTATACTTATTCTTATTATTAGTATTATTGCCGAATATATTTGATAAGGTTTGTTTGGAAATGCAAAGGCATACAGTGTTATTTCAAACTTCTAATGTATAATCTTGACATTTAGATTTCTGGGTAATTTATGTGACAAGGTACATTATTGATGGCCAAAATAAGCAACATTAAATCTAAATAAAATCCAAACATTGAAAATTATTATATTATGTTTTGGATTCCAAAGCAGTCAAAAAAAAATGAAAATTTTTTTTAATTTAATACTCTGATAAATTGATTTTCAAAGCCAAGCTTCATTACGAAGAAGGGTCGAATAAATCTTATTATGCCATTTTTATTATGAAGTAAAGCGTTGAAAAATAATTGTTAAAACTTATTCGCAAACATTACGCATTGGGGGCGGTGGGGGGGGGGGGACGAACGTACGACTGATTAATATAACAAAGCAGAAATTTTAATTACAATTCAAACGGATTATTGGCTGCAATTTTCCAATCATCTATTTACAGAAGTTTGGAATATTAATACTATTACGTTCGTCAACTTGCTCGATAAGCTGATAAACACTCGTTTTTTTTCTTTTTCTTTCTTTTTTAATTTGTTTTTAATTCTCTTCGTGATTACAAAGTTGCAATTGGCTTTTATCGTAACGCTAACCAGTTAGAGAATTGAATTTTAATCTTATACAACGAAATATTTTGTCCCTACGAAACGTGGGTAGTACCTAATAAACACTTTCCTCAACCTCCACCTAACAAGATAACAAGACAAGATCAATTATGCAAAATTCTCCCAAATATCGGTCATGCGACACGCAATGAGTAATCTCAACAATAACAACAACAACAAAATCAATACACAAATATATGATATTGCACCACGATGGTTCAAACTGCGCTGCTTTAAATTTGCTAGTAAAACCGATACAACTAACTGACGATGAATAATCTATTCCAACAACCATCGATTTTTCTTCCCTCCCTCAACACAGTCCAACCATTTATCCCACTTTTACCGGTCATTTATTTACGAAATAAATACAAGTACCAGGAGCCATTCAGCGAGCGGGCACTCGTCTCCCCAACCGCCGAAAATTTCTCGGCCAATAAAGCAGATTCCACCATACCACGTGTCTAGTGCTAAACGGAACCATCGCCCTTCGCCGAACCATTCAACCAAATTTCACCATCCGCCGCGAGACCTATCTCTATCCAACTGCCTATCCAACTGCCTATCCAACTGCCTATCCAACTGCCTATTCATCCAACGGTCGATATTATTCTCATCTAGGATCTTAAGCTTTCAGACCCTTCCACGGGTAATTTTAAATTAAAGCCCGCGCGCAACGCTCTCGTCGCTTCGGCCCTGCGCGATAAACGGCAATGATAATGAAAAAGCCGCACGACGCCGATAAAATGAGACGAGCGAGCGCGAGAGCGAGTCCTCGGCCTCCTTTCCAGCTACAATTGCCGATTTTTCGTCATTTTACGAACATACGCGATACGCCGTATGCAGATACGCGCCGAAGCCGCCGCCGGATAAGGAGAAGAACAATAAATACATGTCGCGCGAAAGTAGCCAATTTCGCGCGCCATTGCGTCGGCTCTGCAAAGGGCGCAGGCGCGCGGGCGCAACAGACGGGCCACGCAACAGCCAACAACGGGAGGCGGCGGTGGTGGCCGTATTTGCCGTAACATCGGCACTGCCACTATCGCCCACCACCATCGTAAGCGTCGACACCACCACCGCAACTACCATCGTCGCAACTACCATCATCACCACTACTGCGCCACTATCGCCACACGACACTACTACGAGTACTAGAGTAGTGGGCGAATCGAAATTGTTTAGCCGGGCTGGAGGCGTAGGTAGTCCGAGCGAAGTCGTGGAGCACTGGCCCCACGTAGGATCAACATGCCACGCGGATGTGGCGCCCAACTCGGCCAAGAGCAGCTCTCGTCGTATAGCGGCGCTTAGCTTAGCTATAGCTCGGCTCATCGCCGCCGCGGCTGACGGTCAAGAGCGACATCTCCGTGGCATCGGGGACGACGTGGACGTTCGGTGGTAAGGGGTTCGAGCGCTGAACGAGAGAATGTGGGCCCGATCGCTCGGTGTGCCCGTCCTGCTGGGCTACTTGGTTCTGGCTGCCCTCGGCAGGATCTCCGCCTCCTACGTCCCGGGCGGGGACATCATGTACGTGGAGGTCGAGGACACGCCGCGGGTTAAGTGGCTCGTCGACGATAAGGACAACGAGATCGAGGACGTTAACGGCGCCCGAGTCAAGAGGAACTACAAGCAGCCACGAGCCATCGAGGATTTTTACGAGAGGTTTCAGTCTGATACTTGCCAGAGGCAGTTGAAGAGACTCTGCGAGATCCAGGATAAGAAGATGGACGATCTCTTCTTCCTGGAGTGCATTCAGACGTTAAAGGTACACTTTCTCTACTTTATGTAAGGCTGGCGCTCGTCCTTTCTGATTTTGATCCATTTTATCGATCTCTGGCCATGTTGCTTTTAGTCGCGCGAGACTCTTTATGGAAAATATCTGTCCGTAGCCCTTCCCTATTGGTCACACGAACCTCTTGATTTAAAAGTCCCTTTCTTCGATTGTGTCGCGATGTATTTATTTATCCTCGGCTTCGTAAGTCCGCGTCTGTGTGAATGTGCGAATTCTGCATAGATCCGATTAATGATTTCGATTTTCGGGTTTTGTCGCCTGCCCGGGTCGATGTTTCGTGATTAATGTTGATTGCACAACATGACATTTTGAAGGAGGCAAAAAACATTGGAAAAAATTCGACTTTTAAAATTCGATTTTTGCTTACAGCCGAATGAAATAACCACCATCGAAGACTCCTGCCAACATTCTATCTACAATTACATTAGAGAAGCCACTTCCAATGAAAATATATTAAAGATGACAAAAGAGGAATGCAGCGATTCATTGGACGTGCTAAAATGTCCAATGACGAGTCCAGGCTCCTACTTGTTGTGCTTAGTCGATAAAAGGGATAAAATAGCGGATCTACAGTGTTCTGACTTTATTCAGAAACTGGACTGGGTAGTGAATGACTTTAAGATTATTATTGCATCGTTTATTCCAGAATGTCAGAACGACGTTAATAGATTTCAGTGCGGTAGAATTCAGCCTTACAAAGATATTCTGCAAGGGCAAACGTTGGCATGCTTACAGCAACATATTAATAAATTAGAAATAGCTTGTAAGAAGCAAATTCTACGCGTTACGGAAATACAAGCTGACAATATTAAATTAGATCGTCAATTGTATTTTGCCTGTGTGCAAGATCACAAGAAGTTCTGTTCCAATATGCGATCAGGCACGGGTCAAGTTTATAAGTGCTTGATTCAACATAAAATGGATAGATCGATGACCAAGGCTTGTCAGGAGCAGTTAGTCAGAAGAGAAAAATTAATTGCTTCAGATTATAAAGTCAGCAGGAGCTTGGCTAAAACTTGTAAAGAGGATATAAAAACCTATCGCTGTCGCAGAAACGTGTCGGAAGATAAAAATATAAGGCTCGCGCAAATATTGCTGTGTCTGGAGTCTGCGGTAAAGAACGGTAGTAAAGTGGCTAGCGAGTGTCAAGTGGAAATGTTCGATCATAGAAAAATACTAATGGAAGATTACAGACTATCGCCTGAAATAGTAAATAACTGCGCGAATGACATACAAATGTTTTGTAACAATTTAGAGGTTGGTGGAGCCACGATCCATTGCTTAATGGAGTACACTAGAGTGCGTAAAAGAAAGGGCAGAGTCTCTCCAATATGCCAAAGAGCCGTAAGTTTCACGCTCAAATTTTGCAATTATTCTTCATTAAACGCGTATTTATATCCATTCCGTCCAATCCAAGTCCTTATAACCATCCAAATAAAATCGAATCGCCCATTGTCCATTTGAATCTACCATTTCTATTATAGTTAGAGGATTTAATAAAAGAAACCGATGCTGGCGAAGATTGGAGAATAGATTCCGTTCTGAGAGAAGCTTGCCAATCCGTCGTGGATGTAGCTTGCAAAGATGTGAGTAAATCGAGCGAAGCTTGTATTCAATCAAATTTCGCAAAATTATCCTCCATTAAAATTACAATGCAATGCAGGTCCAAGGAGGAAATGCAAGGATAATATCCTGCTTGATGGATAAATTGGCGACCGATCGAATGACAGAGTCATGCGAAACAGCGCTCATTCAAATTCAATATTTTGTCGCTAGGGATTATAAATTGGATCCCTTGTTGTACAGAGCATGTAAAGCAGATGCGGTGCATCTATGTCATGCAAAAAATGCATGGGCCAGTGATGGCACTCAAATGGATGTGGAAAGAGGTCCACTCGTTCTTCCTTGTTTGTATAGATATGCGTATCATCCACAAAAAGACATGGCGGTAATAATGGAAGTTTTATACGAAATAGCGTTAAGAAAATTTCTTTGAATGAAAATTGACTTTGAGTCTTGCGAAATGATTGTAAGCCGAATAATTATATGAATATTACTTTTTACATGATTCATGAGTTGCTGGTAAGGAGTTTCTTTGTTTTTTAAGTCTTTTAAGAGAAAAGGGGAGAGATGCAATGATTACTCGAAATGATAAGAAAATTTTGTGCAACATTGTTTTAGACTTAACTTATTTGTAGTAAGAAAATATTTCATAATTCAAATCGTTGTTTCAAAATTTATTTAATAATTATTATCGATAAACAGCCACTCGCTAGAGTTTTCATTTGTTTAACTTTATTTAAACTTAGGACATGCTCAAAGTATCGACTCGCCAAATTCATAATTCAATATATTCAAAATTTATTCACAGCTAAAGAAAGAATGCTTAGATGAGATAAGAAGAGTAATGCGGCAGAGGGCGGTAAATGTTGATTTACAGCCTGAAATTGAGGAAGTTTGTTTGGACGACTTGGCATCCTTTTGCTTCGATAAGACTGCCAAAGGGGAGGAAATTTTATGTTTACAAGATAAATTTGACAGGTAGATATTTTACTCATTGAATTACTAAACATATAATTACCATAATGCGTATTAAATGCGTGCTACAATTATTTTTACAGTTTAAATCAAAATTGTAAATTAGCCGTTGGAAATTTCACTGAAGAACAGGCTGAAAGAGTCGAGCTGAATCCTATTATTACAACAGCTTGTCACCATATTATGGAGAGGCACTGTGGGGTAACTAACTATTAATGGAATTTTTCCTTTAAATTGATAAATTTTCAATCAATCATTTATTAAAATATATCATGTTGTAAGGATATTCTCAAATATGGTAAAGACGAAGGAGATATGATGGAGTGTTTGATCGAGCATAAAAATGATTTCGATACTCGTACAGACGCTAAATGCAAAGCCACAGTCGAGCATTTCCAATTAATATCACTCAAGAATTACCATTTCACATTTAAGTTTAAAGAAGCTTGCCGACCAATGGTCGTACGATGGTGTTCGTAGTAAGTGCCCCCCCCCCGCCACACCTCCCATATAATTATTATCGTAAACATCCTGCCTTAACCATGTGACGATATTTTTAAAGCGCCAACACCAAGTCGGTGGTAATTAATTGTCTGAGCGACATTGTACAAAAGGATATAATACAAGATTCTCAACCTAGAATTTCAAGGGAATGTAGACAACAGCTTAAAGCTCAATTATATCAACGCAGAGAAAATATTAAGTTTGACCCTAAATTATATAAAACATGTTCCGAAGAAATAAAGCATCTTTGTTATAATGTTGAACCTGGCAACTCACAGGTATTTGAATTTGAATTAACATTTCTAATATCTTCTACATTTATTCTATGAAATGAGAATTCGAATAATTTATTATATACCGTATTTAAGGTGTTGGAGTGCTTGGCGTCGAATAAACCAAAATTAGGGGAAAATTGCCACTCGCAAGTATTTAAAGTAAGGAAACAAGAATTTCAAGACAGTTCGAGTGATTTTGCTCTTCTAAACGCTTGTCACTCTATGGTTAGACAGTTTTGTTACGACATTGATCGATCAAAGGCATTATATTGTTTAAAGAGATACAAGGATGAACCTATGTTCGATGATAAGTGTAGAACATTTGTCATTAACAGAATGGTTGAACAAAACACCGATTATAGGTTTAACGCAGCTTTACAGACGGCTTGTTCATTAGACATTAACAGGCATTGTAAACAAGTATGTTCTAGCAATGCATCAATGTTAATGTAAACGAATTCTTAATGAAATATTAAATTATTAAATCTTACAATGTTGAAATATTCAATTTATGTAATTTTAAGAAATTCGTTGAAATTAACATATATTTCTTTGCAATTACGCTATTACTGTAAAATTTATTAAAACGTGCCTTCTTATTTTTAAACAGCAATTGATAAATCAGACTGCGAATAAAGAATTAGAAGGTAAAGTTATTGCGTGTTTAAAAATTAAATTTAAGGAATCTAAGCTAACGATTAAATGTGAGCATCAAATGACAAATATATTAAGAGAAGCAGCTCTCAACTATCATCTTAATCCTTTGATTGTAGCACTATGTGCTTATGAGGTAATTGAATTAATTTTTATGCTATCTATCATATGATATATATAAAATGGTGTAAAACTGCTATTGATGTAGATTGTATGTCTTTGCGTTATCTTAAAACTTTTCAATTCCACGTGTGTTTAGATCGAAAAAATATGTAAATCCGATGAGAATAGTTCACCGGGAAAAGTCGAAGAGTGTCTAAAGAATCAATTTACGCTCGATAATAAAGAGATGAAGGAAGCTTGTCGCGTGCAAGTGGCAGAAATGATCGAAGAATCTAAAGCAGATATCAACTTTGATCCACTTTTACAAAAAGCCTGTGCCGTGGATGTTAGCAAATATTGCAATATGGTGCCACAAGGAGCTGGAAGACGTAAAATTCAGATTAATTAAAAACCATTTTTTGTAACAAATTGCGCAATTAATACATGTATCTTTTTTTTGTTTTCAGATATCAAATGTCTACAGAATATCCTACAGGATGAAAAGAGATCGTTAGAACCAGATTGTTATAAAATGTTAACTAGTAGAATCGAAATGTTTAAGAATGCAGATAAGGTAAGCTTTTTTCTGTGCATTTCGTCAATTAATTAAATTTTTAAAAAACGAAGGGAATAACAAATATTTCCTTCCTTTTACTATTCTAAATAATCAAAGTCAATTGTTAATACTTAAGGGTAAAATACCTATTTCATACAAATTGATCTTTCAATTCAATGCAATTATTAATTATCAATCATTTATCACGTGACTTTCATTAACTACTCTATATGTCTTTACGAGTACAAGAATGACACGAGTGCAATATTTCATAAGTGAAGAGATATCTTGACAATTACAAGTCTTTCCAAGTCTGTACGAATGAAATAACTGTTCTCGAGAATGCTTGGATCATACTTCTTCAATATTTTAGTAAATGGAAAAAGACTTAAACCTTATCTGTATAATGTATTTATTTATCTTGTGTACGTTTGAAATTCATTATAAGCAAATATCAACGCAATATTATTTACATTGGTGTTAAAATTTTATTAAGTAATAAAAAAATTGGCCTCTATCTTTTCTTCTTTTTGACGACCAAAAAAAAAAAACACAAAAAAAAAACAAAAAAAAACAAAAAAAAACAGCAAATACATAAATGATAGAAAATAATACTCCCGTTGTCTATTATAAACGAATATAAAAATTATAAGATTATAATTTTTTCTGTTCGTGTTACAGTTGATTGCCCCAAAAACAATTGAAGAGCTGTATGATTCGGTGAATCGTTCACCGGCCAAGAGATACTTTTTAATCTTGACCTTCACAGCGATTGGATTTATTTTCATTATGGGTCTGTCTTGCGGTCGGGTATCACGTCGACCAATGATGATGAAAAACAAATGATCAGCGATATGTCAATTCTTAGAAGAAATTCATGTGAAACAGATGAGCGTTTGGCAGTTGCAATCCTTATGTGTCCGCAAGCCTTGCGATTTGTTAAGATTTGTTTTACAATCGACGTGTCAAAGCAACAAATACAAGACAACAACAACAACAAAAAGCGGAAACAAACAATAATCACAATTTTGTACGTCTTTTTAATCTTACTTGAAGCTTCGACGAATTGTAAATCAATTTGATCGCACGCATTTAAAAGATAAGTGTGGGAAAAAATATTAAAAGATTTTTTTATTGTAAAAGTTTATACGTATTATCGTCTAATGCTGCAAGCCGTGAGGCTCGTAATGGGAAGTTTGTATAAAGTTAATGTAAATTATTATTATATAAATGATTAAAATAATGGGTAAGATTGAACAATGAGAAGAAAAAAAAGGAAGAAATACATCATATAACTGGCTGTTAATTTAGTAGATGATTTTTGTATAAGAAAATGAAACAAAAATGAATAAAATTGTGATATCAAATATGTATAATAAAAAGTATCCTGAACGATATGATTAATTAATAAATCATAATTCTCTCAATTTTTATCCTTTATCCATTGAACGCATACGAAGATATAAGCAATAAAGAACGGATCGAACGCACGACACCTACTCAGACTTGCACACTCATGCTCATGGAGTAGCTGCGATGTGAATTTTAAAAAGGAAATCCAACTTAAGTAGGTTTTCTTACTCAATGCGCCATAACAATTTCGATGCATGTGTGTGCTCACCATTTGTATTGAGATTTCTAAATAAGAAGAATGTCAAAAGACCGTTACGTCATGTTTTCCAACCATTGCGCAACCTTTTATCTTTCTAATGCTCTTCCTGCATTTCTATTATAATATTGACGAAAAAGGATTTTTTTGTTCACTTAAATTAACATAAATTGATTGCGCAGCAATTATTTACAAATTACGAAATTACATTGGTACTTACATTGGCAATTGACAACCAGTATAGAATATTTGTTGTTTTTTTCTTTTTCTTTTCTTTTTTATTTCTTAATTTAAAATGTTAACAACTAATGGAATCATTTTCGATAACTAATGCTTTAACAATATTAACATTGGCTACATAGATTTGAAAGTATAAAAGCCTCTTAGTACAATGATGGTAATTAAATTGGGCTTGTTTCGATATACAATAGCCTAATATTATTAATAAGAACAATTACAACAACAACAACAACAACAAAAAACAAGGAATGAAAAGAATGTAATATATAAATAAGAGCAAGTGTTATTGATAAATTTTCTTGGTCTAACTTCATTTACCATGCCATTTAAGTCGCGGAATTACAATTGTTTGATAAAAATTGGATTAAGCTCGCATCATTTATTGAAACTATTCCTTTCTATTTTGCATGAAAAGCACCCATCAACTATGGAAAACCATTAAATAAAAATAAATCCGGTATTCTCAAATGTACATGCACGCGCATACATTGATTTCTTTCACAATCTGGAAACGATAATTACTTTAAGAATTAATTGTATTCATACTGCTATTGGTGAAAAATAACTAAAATCCTCGCGTCGAATACTGAAACGTTAAGGTGAAAGATAAACTTTCACTACTCTCATTCTCGTAGGCCGAAAATTTTGAAAAATCATTTTACAATCTTGTAAGTTTAAGGATTGTCCGCGCAAAATTCAGAAAAGCTCCTTTCAATTCGTGTTTAAACGTTCGCGTAATATCCATTTCTTTCTCAATTTTCCACGTCAACGCACTGTCCCGGACGAGAAGCTAAAGCGAATGAAGAAAATTTACAAATCACGTGGCGTCTTACCAAACATTATTATATTTCATAAAGTACAATTGTCGATAAATCGTCCCTTTTATCTCGAGCCGCCTTCGATAAGTCGCCGGCAATTCGGGAAGATCCGTCGTCCTCGACACCGAGTCGAGATCCAAAATCATTTATTTGGAGCTCTGGAGATTAAATTGGCTGATTGATCGCCGAGGGCGAAGCGAATTATGGAAGCGCGCGCCGCACCCACGCGACCCCGCACTCGCGGGAAAATCTAATGTCGTTGGTGAGCGAGTACGCGACGAGAGTGCCACGACGATTGAAGAAAAACAAAATATGTCACGGGCCGCGTGACGCGGTGACAAAGGAAAGGCAACGACGAGATTGAAAGAAAAATACAGGCGGGAAGGGCCGCAACGACCAAAGCTCCCGTGCATTCCTCCGCTCCGTTCCACTTCACGTGCCTTCGTATTTTCGTGTACGTGCTCGCCGTCGCTCTCCTCCTCTCACTCAGTCACTCACTTTCTCTCTGTCTATCTCTCTCTCTCTCTCTCTGTCTGTCTCTCTCTCTGTCTCTCTCTCTCTCTCTCTATCCCTATATATATATATATATATATATATATATATATATATCTCACTTCGGCTCTCTTCTTCCTTACCGCCTTAAGCCAGCCTCTCCCACACCTCGTCTGGCTCAACCATCTTATCGCGAGCGAGCCTTATCTTAATAATAATGGCTATTTATTTTGCAGTTTGCGGGGAGTCGATTATTCGAGGCTTTTACATCATCATCTGCTTGGGATTCGCCGCTCGGTAGCCGTATGATCACGGGGAGATGCGGAAGGTCAAAAAGTTCGTAAAACGCTGCTCCCGCTCCTTTACATTTTTATCATTCGAGGGACAATCCCGTGACGCGATCGTGGGACTCGAAATTCCTGCCCTTTTTCGTTGGCCGTCGAAGAAGCGATTTGCTAACGATTATGCATTGGCTAATCATCATTTTACAAGCTTTCGCTTTGCTTGTTAACAGTTGGGCGAGTGACGTCTACCGTGGACGTCAGTTTCGGGGATTCCGGGTTACATTCCTTTCCTGGGCGCGGATTGACAAGAGAGATAAGTGCCGAGGCTATTGAGACGTTAACAAAAGAATATTGCCAGATGGTGAAAAGATATGATTTTGTTTATTCGTGATTTCGGAAAATCAGCCACATGGGACATTAAATATCGCTGTGTAAATAGGCATTATTTTAGTTTGATTTATCTTCGAAGATCATGTTTGAGCGCGATAATAATAATAATGGTAATTAATCTTTACTTTTATTAAGATGCGATAGCAATTTGATCATTTAGCTCACTCATGATTATATATATATTGCAGTAATGTCTTAAAAACTTAGTCGTAGTCGACATGTTTAAGATGTTCCAACTCGCGTTTATTTAAATATTTATAAATCACTTTCTTATTATTATAAAAGCAAGTTTTGCATAGGAATGGTAGGAAAAATGTTATTTCACCGGACATATGGAGTAAGCGGCAATGTAATCGGCGTCGAGTCATTGAAACAAATTCAATGACTTCTTACATTTATATATATATATATATATATATATAATAATGTAACGCCACGTTTATTAAAATTAATATTGAAGACAATTCAAATTCTTAGATAAGGAGATACAGACGATGAGACTTATCATGACAAATTTTTCAGTCTGCGTGATAGGATGATAATTTAAATTTATCTAATAGTCTAAATTTCTCTTAAATATTAACCTTCTGTTCGTGACGGACAAAGAGGAGTAACTTGGGTCGCAACCATGTACTCGAAATATGGCAAATTATCATCAATAAATACGAATTACCATTTAATTCGATATGATGTATGTCTTAAGCTCGGCCATCCTCGGGATTTACGCTGTCGGTATTTTAATGACAGATATGCAGTATTATAATGCAGATGAATCCTTCATCTGCACTAATTGCAACGAAGAATTTTCAACGACAACTGAGAAGTGGAAACGGATTTTCTGGTTCGCCGAAGATTTAGTCTCAGTCATATACGCGCTATATTTATTAGGAGAAATGTTTCGTTATTGAAATTCAAATTAAAATAGAATAATCCAAGGAAGGAATGTTTTTTTTTTTATCATTATTATTAGTTTTTGTTGATAAACATACAAAATTAATTATGATCATCAAAAGAGTACCGATAACATAATGATGGTCAATTTAGTGATGCGTACACTGCTTTTCTCCCTATTGCAATGCGACCCTACCTTGTCGTAATCTTAATTAATAATTGTAATTTTCAAGCCTGTATAGAAGATATAAGAGGGCATATCGATTGTTTATTCGCCGAAGAATTTGCTCATTTTCATTTCATCGAGCCTTCGTGCGGCTTAAGAAGCGCGCACCTCAATATTAAAACTTTAATTCGAGCCACCGACTTATTCTATGCAATCGCTTATTATTTATAATATTAAATAAATTATTAAATAAATAAATAAATAAATAAATAAATAAATAAATAAAATATATACAAACTATTAAACAAACGATCGACTATTGTCTTATCTTCCTTCACGTCCCTCTAATATTTCAAAGTACTTTGCTATAAAATTCAAGTAGCTTTCGTTTCACTAACGAGTCCACCAATGGAATAAACACGCCACGCGATACACAAAAATTTACAGTTGGTCATACGATAACGCATTCCGAGGATATTAACGAAATTTCAGTTTTCTATTAGAGAGTTTTCTCTTAACGCGAACCACCAATAACGGACGATCCTCAAATTCTCGATCAATTACATAATATCAATAATACACCACGTAAGTATTCCCTCGCGCGGTATGACGTAATTCATGGTGCAATCTCGGTTACCATGCGTTTCAAGGCGTTTTTAAACTTCAATCGCTGCTACCTCGATCGTTTTATATAAATAACACAATAATTGGCCCTCGAGCAGACGGCAGCTCAACACACGCTTTGAAAAGCGTTAAAAGTTAATCAATATTATCAGATTAAGGCAAGGAAGAAATTTCCCTCGGCCACTCCAAACGTCTTTTTAATTGCTTATTTGTGTGCTCCAATCTAAACGAGAGAGGATGCCGACGACATTCGACTAATCACGCGTCATTATTGTAGTTGAACAATCGCTTTAATCGGATTCGTCGATTCTCAAACAATTCGACGTTTGCCGCTTTTTGCGCGATAATTATATTATTATACATCGGCCATTAGTATGGTCAATAGCTTTTTTTGTTCGGGCCCGTCAATTAATAGCTAAGTTACACGTTAGGATAAGATAGCGCTTAATTATTACGCTCGGTAAGGACTCGAGGAGGAGCTATTTAAAAGCTATTTTAAAATCGAACCGTTTGACCGCTCGATCGCCGTCGTTCTAATATTATTGGCACGATCGTTAAATCGATTACAACGTTCGACGCTGGAGTCACGTTTGTAATTTTGAGCTTCTCGGTCGTCCGTAAAAAGAATTTTGCTCAATCACATGCGAGCCAATATTCGCCGATAAGCTACGTCCAGTCGAGCACTCAAGTCGTCCGATAAATGTCGCAAGGAAAGTGTTACGTCGGTAAATGTTTTGCGAGCCAGCCAAGTCGAGCAGGGGAAGCTGCTGCTCGCACTTCGCGGACAGTTAAGCTCGAGCGATTAATGTTTTGCCTAAATTTGTAATCGGCGAGGGCCTCGCTTTATTAGCGTCGTCCGGCAAAAGAGAGCAAAAGAGGCTCGCTCGGTGCGAGGGAAACGGCGACGTCGGGGCATTTTCGACCTCGACCTCCCTGCGATCCTTCTCCAAAAGGTAACGAACGCACAGGTAAAGAATGCGCTGGTCTTGTCGCGTTCTTGTCGCGCGCAATCCACGTGTAGCGAGTAACCGCCCACGCTTCCGTTCTACGCTCGACGACGATTGAAAAACAAACGAAAGCGAGATGCTGGTTAGAGAGCGAGGGCCGTGATGGGGGTGGGTCGGTAAATGGTGTTGGTGTTGATGGTTGGGACGGTGGGGGCCGCGAGGATGATGAGGAGGTGGCGGAGGAGGAGGAGGAGGAGGAGGAGGAGAGACAGTGTAACAAGGCGCGCCAAAGTTTTTTTCTCCATCACCTTACTTCGAGCTTGAGGGACGGACTTGCCGCGTGACGCAATAGGTGTGGTTTTCTTAGACAAAGTACACGCACGAAGACTACGGCGCAAATTCGAAAAATCCACGGGCCGATGCTAGAGTTGAAGTGGAGGCAGGGGGTTGATGGAAACGAGTACCACGGCGGTAACTGCAGGTGAAGACGAAGACGAAGACGATGAATAGGAAGAGGAAGAAGATGAATTATGACACCGAAGAGGTGATGAGAGAGCGAGAGAGAGAGGGAAAGCCGAGTGAAAGCGCAGTAGAGTCGTCACGGACGTAGGCCCTCGCCGTTGAGATCGAGGAAAGGGCAAAGTCCGGGGCCCGTGGCGCCATTTTGGGGCCTCCGTCGGAGCGGAGCTTGGGAATACGAGAGTAGACGCGCGCCCCAATTTTGGAAAAGTGACGGGATTCGTCGGGATTAAGTCGACGACGAGTGGACGGACGATCGCAAGCACCGATCCGTATCATCGTTGTACTCCTCGTAGTCTTCTTCGTCGCCTCCGCTGCCCCACGGCCGGTGCCGTCACCGTCGCCGCGGCCGCTGCCCCCACCACCACCGGCGCCTCTGTCGTAGCCTCGTAGCCGTGTGCGGTGACGAAGAGAGAGAGAGAGAGAGAGAGAGAGAGAGTTTGGATCGAGCAGAGTGGGGAGTGGTTGGGCGCGAGCGAGAAGGAAGGAGTAGTTGGTGCCGCCGTAACCGCCGTAACCGCTCTAGCCGCTGTAGCCGCTGTAGCCGCTGTAGCCGCTGTAGCAGCAACAGCAGCAGCAGCAGCAGCAGCAGCAGCGACAGCAACGACGGCAGCTACATTATTCCGAGAAACACAGACGGCGTTCTCGGCTCGCTCGCGGATCCGACGGTAGTGTGTTGCAGTCGAGAGAGCGCGCGCGCGTCACAGTCAAAGCTCCTCTCTTTGCCGCGGGATGGTGATGATGATATCGGGTGGAGCAGCAGTGGCAGCAGTGGCAGCAGCAGCGGGAGCAGCTACGAGGCGAGGGCCGTCGAGCCAACGTCCCCCCAGTGTTTCGTGAAAAGTCGAGGGCTGGCCCCGGTAGCCGCAGTCGCCGCCACCGCCGCCGCCACCGACAGTAGGTAGGAACGCCGTCGCGTCCCTGGTCCGTTGCTCCCGGTGGCGGTGCTGCTGTTCCGTCCACCCCGAGTGCCCCGTTATTTCCCCGCTGTGCACGCGCGCGGTCACACGGCCCGAGCTAAAGGGGCTACGGAGGAGGCACGCGCGCGCACTCCGTGGAGGGGCCGGAGGGGGAGGACGAGGAGGAGGGGGAGGCGGAGGAGGAGGAGGTGGAGGAGCGCTGCGTCTCCGTATACACTGCTGCTGCACACCGCACCGACACGAAGAAGAGCGGAGTACTCCGACAAATGTTTAAATGGACGCATCGTCCATTATCACCCAAGTGTCGCGCGAAGACGAGCTAGGACAGTTTAACGAAAAAGGTATATTCATGCGTGTCTTATGCGTACGCGGCCCTCTTGGCGCATAGGCCCTCCTTCTCCTTCTCATCCTTCCCCTCACGCCTCTCACATCTTACCCCTGCCCCCCGCGATATTTGCTGTGCGCGCCACTCTGTGTTCCTCCCTCGCTACCCCCCCCCCTCTCCAATACTCCCTCGCTACCCCTCCCTATTCCCTTGCGCGTGTGGGCGCACATGTGTGGCTGTGTGTCTCCCCCGCGATATTTGCTGTCCGCGCCACTCCGTGTTCCTCCCTCGCTACCCCCCCCCCTCTCCAATACTCCCTCGCTACCCCTCCCTATTCCCTTGCGCGTGTGGGCGCACATGTGTGGCTGTGTGTCTGCCTCTGCCTTTGCCTTTGCCTTTGCCTCTGTCTCTTTTTCTGCCTCTGCCTCTGCCTCCGCCACCGCCTCCGTCTCCGCCTCCGCCTCCGCCTCCGCCTCCGCCTCCGCCACCGCCACCGCCACCGCCTTCGCATACGTCTGTATATATGTTCTGTATTTATCCTTACGTACCGTGAGCGAACTGTCTACTTACTCTTTTCTTTATCGCCGATTTTTCCTCCCATTACTTTTAGTATAGTTCCTAAAAACTTCCTTAGCTCTTTATTGCTTGGTTTGTTTTGAAACGAATTTCTTTTGCTCCAGATGCTGCGTACACTGTGATTCTCTGTACACCTGTTACCGTGTGTTTTTTAAATCTCTTATCGCCATTACACTTCATGTGTACGACTATAAAGTCATGTCTTTTTCCGGACTTTTGCGGGGTAACTGCACAAGAACTTGTGTACGCGAACTTTGGTTGAAATCCTATCAGCTGAAAGGTTAGGTTCTCTTTTCCTTTTACTTAAAAATGCTTTATTTTGATTGATGTGCATGATGCATCCATTTTTTTCACCTCGTCGCATGCTCTTTTATAAAATTATTTGTGCTTAATGTGTTTCATTGATAACGAATGCACTCTTATGTCCACTTACTTTTTCTGCTTACTATTTTGCTTTGATAATCTCTCTCTCTCTCTCTCTCTCTCTCTTTTACACACACACACACACACACGCACACGCACGCACACTCACACACACGCACCACACACAAAAACACACACGCGCGAACAACCCATCCTCCCACCTCGTTCTACCCTTCCCTTTCATCTGCGACCCTTATTCTATGTTATGCTTTTACTTAGTTGAATAATTTTTTTTATCCATGATGTACTTTTTACATACAACATTGTACCAATATGCTTTTTTTTCTTTTACCTTATCTATTTATATATCAAAGAGAGAGTCCATGTTTTACTATATTCACTTTTTCTTTGCCATTTCTTTTCTAGTCGTTCAACCTTATATATTTAACCATCTCTTGAACGTTTCATCCTATTTTTTTTTTCATCGAAGCGTTTTATGTCTATGAGTGTTATTATGTGTGATATTGACTTCAATTTGCTTAACAATAAAAAATATTGCTATTAAAAAAGTTATAATAAAACTCTATTGTTTTATAATAAATTGTCGATGCAGTTTATATAATTTTCTTAAGTGTTAAAATAATTTATGGTATATAACTAAATCACGAGTAATATTAAAATATTTTTTAGTCAACTATAACAGCGATTATCCAACAGATTTTCAATTCATGTTCAGCTTGATTCTTTTAATTTTGCTACAATTGTTTAATTAAATAAAAAAAAATAAAAATTATAATCCAAATCTTAATCGCATATAACCATTGTTTTTCTCATTTTCACTAGCGTACAATAACCAATGATTTCATCTTCCAACTAATAAAATTTGGCTTAGTAAAAGTTTTAAAACATTTAAAACATTAATACTTAATTGATATGTCATTGGATAAATTCTATGATTTTGCAAACTGTATAGATAGTAAAGTTACTATAAGAATTTAATTGTATAGATAAACTCAGAAAATTATATTAAAAGTAAACTATGAATTGCTGGGGTTAAATATATTTGTTAAACATGCTTAAAAAGTTAATTAATTACAAATTTATATATAGTTGCAACAAATTTTTCATTATATTGTTGCATTTCAAAATAAAGTATGACACATATATAGTATTTATAATTTTGTCATTATAATCTTGATATAGTGTATGCACATTATTGATATATATTTATATAATATTCGATATAATCGATAAAAAATTGAATTAAATAATGTCTTGTCTAAGCTCTGTTTGCATATAATATTTAGTATATAAATACTAGAATTATAATATTTACTATTAATCCTATAGAATATCAGTAAACAGTGCTACAATTTATCATTTTCAAATAGTTATGCCTATTGGCGATAAAATTTAATCATTTAATGGCGTTTACATAGTCAATTTCACATTGTTTAATTTTATTAAATATTAATTTTTATATTCAACATTGCTTGATTTCATGACAATGGATTCACTTTATAATTACTTTGCAAATAGTTTACAGTTTAGTATGATATACCGATGGGAAAGTAGCTTTAATTAACCATTATTTATCTAAGTATCTACCTTACAAAGTGCATTTTTAAAAGAATGAATTTTACTGCTCTATGATGGCTATAATTAACGAATAAACAAAATTTCAGCACAATTACCACGAGACAATGACACTAGTATCAACTGTGCGACTCAAAGCGAAAAGAAGCCACGAGGTCGGGGCTTCCTGCATTCTCTTCTCTGTTGCTTGAGTCGGGGCCGTGGCAGCAGCTCCAAGAGCTCAAAGGCCAGTTCACTCCAGGGTGATGGTCGAGGTTCACCCCCACCAGGCACTGGATCACCTCGTTTTTTGTTACCACCCCTGCGCCATCAGGACATTTACAAAAAGTGTATGGTGATCGATCTTGATGAGACGTTGGTGCATAGTTCGTTTAAGCCTATCAATAATGCTGACTTTGTGGTGCCAGTGGAGATTGATGGGACCGTGCATCAAGTTTACGTTCTCAAGAGGCCTTTCGTGGATGAGTTTTTGCAGAGGATGGGTGAACTCTACGAGTGCGTTCTATTTACTGCAAGCTTACCGAAGGTATGGTTTTCTCGTTTACTTAGTTTGCTACGTATTTTAGCGCTTTTATGGTGACTCCGCGATGCTAAAGTTGAAAAAGCTTATGTAGAAAATAATATTTGACAATTACTTTCATTGCCTAGAACATTAATAAATCTATAGTGCTCTGAATGTATGAATGAACGTTAATCTTTCCAATACTCATAAATTCTTCATGCGTACAAAAAATTTTTGTGTACGTTGATGCAATTGAACGCGAGAATGTTAAAAATTATAAACTCTTAGTCCTGCATTGAATAAGTTAATACTCTATGATTCCTAGTCGATGATTATAGATTATTTGAAATTTTCTACTAACTTAGGAGTCATCTTTTTACGATTGCACATTATTAAGTGACTCATATGCCGATAGTTCTTATTTGTAAACAATATATCATGAGTAATAAATGTATTTGTAATGTAGAAAATGCCTTAAATATGTGATATAATTACATAGACACATAATTTATGGCCATTTCATTCTTAATTATGTTACAATGTTATAAATAATAATTGAATTCATTTCTATATTTTTTTAGTATGCTGATCCAGTAGCAGACCTACTTGATAGATGGGGTGTCTTTAGAGCAAGATTATTTCGTGAATCATGTGTTTTTCACAGGGGTAATTATGTTAAAGATTTAAACAAATTAGGCCGGGATTTGCAACAAATTATTATCGTCGATAATAGTCCTGCCAGTTACATTTTTCATCCAGACAATGCAGTAAGTTTTGATCTCTTATTTATCGACAGTATAATTATAAAACAATTTTATTATTATTTTTATTGGTAATAGTACCAATAATATTAGTAGTAGTGGTTGTACTAATAATAGTAGTAGTAGTAGTAGTAGTAGTAGTAGTAGTAGTAGTAGTAGTAGTAGTGTAGTAGCAGTAGCAGTAGTAGTAATTCGTATAATAGGAGCAGTAACAATAATTTGTATGATCACCTTATATTTGATCAATACTTAACAATTTTTCAATATCAATTTTTCTTGAATTTGCTTTAATTGATTAAAAATTAGACGTTATTTTTTCCAATTCTACGTGTTTTATTCATTTTAAGCAATAATACTATATATTAATCTATTAAATTCTAATTGTAAATTTTAAAAAATTTTAAAAAATTTTAAATCTTAATTGTATTTCCTCCATTTATTTCTCTTCAAATACTTATTGAATTTAAATATATTATATACAAAAGCTCATACGAAATTTTCTTTTTATAAAAATATCGATAATATGATTGTTTTATAAATCTTAATCTTACAGTTTGTGACAATAGATAATAATTTAATACTTTGTTGATCAAATAAAGGTATTCATTTTCTTAAATGTACTTACATTTCTTACATTTCATTTTAGTCTTTGCTTCTTATTATTTGTTTGATAAAAATAAAAGAATTATATATAAAACAAGTTTTATTAATTAACCTTATGACCTTATTTTTACTTATTAACAATCGTCTTTTGTCTCTTTTTCCTGCAAGTTTAGTATTTTTTTCAAATTCCTTTTATTATCTTTTATTATATTTAGATTACAGCACCATGATAATTATTAAAGTATATAAATCAAAGTTATGCATGCTTATATTGCTTACTTGAATGAGCTTTATAAATGTTTTAATATCATTTAATATATTTCTCATTGAACAAAATTTAATTTGTTTAAAACTTGTTACAAATTCAAATTTATAATTAGTAAGTTAAAGCGACATTGTCTTCTGTGGTATCTATAATTACAAATATCAGTTCGTTTGTAAATAGCTGAAGAAGAAAAAAGCGGGAAGATATATTTTATAAAAAAAACTGCAGAATATTTTAAAATGATTGAAATTTAGTTTATTTTCTTTTGTATAAATGGATATATTTCATTTTCCACACTATACCTAGTCAAATCATTTTTAATGCAACAAAGGAAAAAAAAAAAAAAAAAAAAAAAAAAAAAAAAAAAATGGACTTCGCATTTTGTGTAAATTATTTTTTATTTATTTATTTTCAAAAATACTAGAATGTATTCAATTTTGATAATTTGAAAAAAAACTGCATTGTACTTTAATTTGTATATTATTTGCGTAAAAGTGTATTTAACATAAATTCAATTTTATATAATCATTTTTATTAAACGATTGCATAAATAACATTAAATTTTTATTTACACTTCCCTTTATTTATATATTGATTCTATTAGAATAATGATGTGTACTATTTTATTTAATATGTATGTATTTTTAATTAATTAAACTAACTTATAAGGTAAATTACATCTGCTAATTCAGTTTCTTCATTCGGAAAAGAAAATTATATGAAATTTCAAATCGAAAGATCTTGTCTTGAAATACTAATATTAAAAACAATTAATTTTTTTATAATAATTATTAACTCAAGCTTAAACTGTCGAATATAGCATTCGTGAATTTATTTTGGCAATTTAAACTTATTTTACGTTTCAAAAAAAAACTTAGGCTCGATCCAACATTATATTTATAAATGAATCCTTTTAATACATTTAATATAAAGTAATTTCTATGAATTAAAAATAGATTTGAAAATAAATAAATGGCATATCTGCATTTGATCGAATAAAAATATGAATTACTGATTTTTCTATTTTCATGCTTTAATTTAATAAATTTCAATTATCTAAATTATAAAATGAGCTTAATTGTTAAATATAAGAATTTATTGGGCACAAGTGATACACTTTTGTGATACTTAAATTCATAATTTCATTAAGTATATGTATATCTTTATAAAGTGCTTTCTACATTCATAAATAAAATAGAACTAATGCGATAATTAATTATAAAAGACGTTTAAATGTATGCGCATTGCGCTATTTCATAAGTAGAACGAAAATTGAAGTTAACTAATTTGTGTTCAAAATTTCAAATAATTATAATTTGTTAATAATTAACATACTTATTTAAAAACATACGTCGATCATTATATTACTTTCATTATTATTTTATAAATTTTCCTTATTAATTTATTATATTGTTAATCATTGGTTTTGAAACTTTATTTGACCATGACAGTCAAAATCCACCTGTTTTCCTAAGTAGGTCAATTTAAAAGAGACTCAACAGACGTCTATTTTTGTTTCAATTTATCTTGTAATACATGTAAAACTTTTTAAACGCACCTACCTAACATTATTATATTTAATAATAATAAATTTTCTGCTAGTCGTAATTTTTTTTTTTATAAAAATCGAAAAGTCGGTATGCTATAAAGATCGATAGAGGCAAAGTAAGCGTAAATAATGTATTTGGATTTTATGATCTTTAATAATTTATTATTCCTTCAACAAAATATTGCTATAGAATTCATTTGTGATATTCAGCTCAAGAAACGTATTTTTGCTTGATGTCGTGCAAAAATATAACGATTAATTTTTCATAAAAATAGATCATTAATAAAGTGTTGTTTATGAAAATAACTGATCGTTGCCTTAGACTATTAGTATTTTCAATTTAATAATTTCTTTATTCATATGTTTGTTTATAAAATCGCTCTTATCAAATAATAATTCGACGTTTTACAAAATGTTTAATAAAATGATGCTAAAAATTACTAAAAATTTTGCTACAAAACTCTCAAGTTTAGCATAATATATATTAACATAGCATCTGACAGTTTGTAAATAAATATTTTATATACTAAATTTATCGGTTGCGTTAATTGGATAAAGACGGAGAGTTTGCTTTGGCTCGAATTTCGCTAAATTTAAAGTCTTACGTCATGCTTTTATTTGAACTTGAACACTCTTAGCATAAATATTATTATTTATCTGTAATTTTTTTTTTTTTTTTTTTTTTTTTTTTTTTATATCAAACGACTCTCTAATAATGCTATTTACATTTGCTACTATCATTTTACTAAAATAAAAATCGACGTTTCAGGTGCCAGTAGCTTCGTGGTTCGACGATATGACAGACTCCGAACTGCTTGATCTTATACCATTTTTCGAGAAGCTGAGCAACGTTGACAACATCTACACAATGTTGTGCAACAGTAATCATCCTTACAATGAAGTGCCCACGTCGGGGAAGAACAACCATAGTCCAGGATCAGGCTCTCTGGGCAATTCCTAGCCCCACCGGAATTCTGGCCAGCATTCGGTCAGTCTTATAAATCCTCAGTGCACATTTAAAAAGGCCCTCGAGGACCTTTACGAAATAGTCCACAATTACTCGTTGTGCAACACGACGATGTATCATATCCTAAGATTTTAAATCTTAGTGACATTTCAACGAAACACATATTAACAAAATAATACGAAATGAACAGCCGAATGAAATTCTTGGGCACAAGGAAGAATTCTGTAGTGCCCTGAATTTACCGATGAGCCCAATTCGAATTTCGCATTTTGCTCATGTAATAGTTGTTATTTCGCGCACGAGGAAAGTAATTTTGATTGCTTCGTTTTTTAAAAATATATTTTCGTTATAAAATTTATCTTTGTTAACAGAGTTATTTTAATAAACTATATGATAATATAATTAGTTGGATCAAAATTATTATTATTATTATTATTATTATTTTTTTTTATTTTTTTTTTTTTTTTTTTTATTTTTTTTTATTTTTTTTTTTTTTTTTTTTATTTTTTTTTATTTTTTTTTTTTTTTTTTGAAACAAATAGAGATATAATGTATTAATGCATGTGTATTTTAAATTATTTCTCGCTTTATTAAATTAATTTACCCTCTGCATAAGAGCATTAGTCAGACGGTATAGAGGTTATAAATGAAACAATGAGAATGATTTTCCTCATAGACAATTATTTGTTATATTGTAAAGATTGTAAAACAACTACAGACTTATTAAAAAAAAAAAAAAACAAAAAACAGTCATTAATTGAGTAAAATTATATGAAAATTGAAGTACCGGTAATGTAAGTAATAAAAAAGCCTTTGGAGGCCTTTTAATCTTCGACCACGGCGGTATTTTTAATTCGAGTGCGGCGTTATTCTCGTCCTAAAGACAAGATGGATGAGAATAATAGATGTGTTTAGAATTAATATGACTTCGAGTATAGAATATAAGTTTGAAAGCACCTCGATTGGATCGAATGGTGGAATTAATAGAACTAACACGACGAACTTAATAAGTAGAGAGGTTTAAATATTATCCAAGTTTTGTGAGAAACTAACACTGACGGTTAGTATAATCTCAGTCGGGTAAGCTGGATCGAATTTCCAGAAAGCAAAATCATTTTGAGAAGTAAGGAAACGCGAATACTTCTTACAATCATTTACGTAAAGAATAAAGTCGCAATAATATTAATTTTACTTATTCCATTTTTTTTTTTTTTTTTTTTTTATATTATTAAATATTTCTTAAAGAGTACTTTATTTTTATGAAAACTATGATTGATGAAATTTCGAGTAAATAGTTATGAGTGTATGGTAAATTTAAACGGATAATAAAGCAAACAAGGTGTACGTCTCACCAAAAAACCTTGTTTTATTTGGAATAAAGATAAATTTAATATATAAAATTATTAATGTTTTTAGTACCATAAAAGGAAACCAGAAGTATATTTCATACTATATATATATATATATATATATATATATATATATATATATATATATATATATATATATATATATATATATATATATATATATATATATATATATATATATATATATATATATATATATATATATATATATCCATATATATTTACTTGTTGCTTCAAATGGTTACTCGTGTTGTGTACTCGATATGTGAACTGGATTTTCTTTAATTGAGTACTGCTTGTACTAGGTTTTTTAATTATATATTCTGCTGCAGACTATGAAAGACTTGGTCATTTAATACTTTATGGTCTTACATACAATGGCATTCCATTAAAAGCTTTGAAAAATCAATACTATAATATTACACACCCATATATATATATATATATATATATATATATATATATATATATATATATGCGCGCGCGTGTGTGTGTGTATGTACATAAGACATTTTTGTATACATATATCACGGTAATTATAAAATAGTCTGCACCTGAAACTCTAAAAAGCATACGAGATCTTTATATTATTTCACTTGATAAGCATATATTGAGTATATGTATTATTATTGTTAAAGAGAGTACTTCACACATCTATTTGCTATTGTGAATTAAGATTGATAGAGAAAATTTAATGTTGATATGATGATTGATTTTTTTTAGTTTCTTTAAATGCATTTTTTTAATAATGACGTATCATATTTCTTTGGATCAAGAAATTAAGAAAATTTTCGCATTTCCTGGCTACTTGACTGTATTATGTAGTATATATTATCTTTTTAACTCCCTCTTCATAGCTGAAGGTAGAAGTCTATTATATAGTGAAATTCAAATAATTTAATCTTAAAAGACTAAGATAAATTCTTGATTGATTTTTTTTTTTTTTTTTTTTTTTTTTTCCCCTAGAACTTATATAGTTTATAACATTTCGTGTTCTTACATACTTTAATATTGAAATTGATAAGTAATTAATTTTTGTATAAGAATGTGAGCAACTTGACAATGTAATATTTACGTGGAATCCCTCTGCTGATCCAAGCTTCATCTTAAAATTCTTTCTTTCAATCTACAAACATTACCTTCTAATCATCGATACTTCTTATCGGGTATATTACTTTTACGATAACTACTACCTTGAGATCTTCTTTCATGGCTACGATCTCTAAATGTTTCTCTCCTTATTCTCTAAATCACCGACATTTCAATATCTTCATCGCAACTACTACTTATCACACCGCATCTTTTCCATTTCATTCTTCGCTTTCAACTCCTTCGTAGGCCCCTGTCCATGATTTCCTCCGAAAAATGATCATTAGTTATCCGTATAGCCGCATATCATTCGTCTTATAGCAAAAGCACGTAGCTACATTAATCTGACTTTATCAAGTTTCCCGCTTCAGAAATAACCGGTCGATCAACGAGCACATTAGATTTTCTAACTGGCGCATAGCTATTGCTGCTACATGTAAATATTCCAAGATTCTACTACAAGAATGATAAGAATTAAGCGCTGCACGCTTTGAAGTGTCGGAGAATTATGTGTATTTATTTCATTGGTGTGCGTGTCTGACGAAGCGGTATCACTGTTTATATGGGCATAGATTTCTTCCGTAACCATGTGAAACACTCCAAATAATGCAAATGATCGAATAATGTTCATTCGGACTGGTGTTTTCACTCTGGTGGGAGTTTTTGTAGTAGATATGGCACTATGTCCAATGTCATTTCTCGATGTTTCGACGTTTTTCGAATGGAATTGTTGACTATGCGAGAAGAAAGCAAGGCGGATATTACTTTGGAAGGCTAATTGATGTATATGATTAGAGCCAAAACTAGGAGCACTAGTGACGTCAAAATGCACGAGGTAGAAATTGCACAGTTTTACAATTAATCTCAAATATATGAGTACTGCCGAATACGTGTTCGACCATATCTCTTGCCAATCGATCAGATTTTGGTTGGGAAATCTTGTAGACGAAAGCATGACCAGAAGGCAATCCTAGTAAGAATGTTAATAAGTTAATAAAAGGATGGGATATCCATATCCCAATTCTACGGTACTGCTAGTGATAGTGCTTATTTTTTAATTTGTTTGCAAGAGTCTATTTGTTAGCTTCTGCTACGACATAAAATCAAAATTGTTTCAGCCATTAAAGAAACACTTTTAACCTGTAATGTTTTACAAGGTCTGCCATGCCTCCTTTTTTCCCAACGTCCGATCCGACTTTTTCTTTGGACGCACCATGACAACCTCAATATTTTCTCTCATGGTATATCAATAATATACCTTTAACTTAAAATCTCACTGGTCGTTAACACGTTTGTTAAAATGAATAAAATAATAATAATAATGATCTACGTGCCTTTCGCGAAAGTCGGCATTTTTGCCAAAAAAAAAAAAAAAAAAAAAAAAAAAAAAAAAACAATTCATCAGATCTTAATAATCATACTCCGAGTGCCTTCCTATTGACAAAATTTTTATCCGAATTGCTTCTTCTATGCTTTCTTACTTGCATTTTATGATCTCTTTAAGATATCTGCTATATTTCCCGTGAGTTTACACGGGGGCAAATTTATATAGTCTGTATGCTCCATTTCACTTGATAGAAAAGTCATCATACAATTTCACTTTAAATTTCACCAGATGAAAGTGGAATTTCTTTACAAGTATTGTATTTGGGAATGAAAGTGGTATTAATGCTCCTATGCATCCGAAGCAATTCTCTATAACAGTATAAAAGTAGCTTTCGTCAACATTGTCTTTCGAAAGTTTAGTGTAGCGAGATATTTTAGATTAGAGCGAAAATACCTACTACTAGCTTATGTGCACCAGTAAGGAACGATCTGAATCTAAACTGTGTATCCTCTGAGCATTCGACCCCCCCCCTCCCCCACTCCTCCGCGAGCTGGTATAATTTCTCTTATTCCAGCCACTTTAAAACTATTCAAGATGTCTAGCGTGTTTCACCATTGTCCCCTTATGGCGCATAAATGTGTACATTGTGTACCCTCTGAAATATGCTTTAAATGCACTTGAGCTATTTTCTCGTCATATCCTTGAAAGCAACTTTGTCCAGCATGGTGACTCATAGATCACAAATTTGCCTTTGTATCAGCTATGCACAGCTCCATCCATTGGACACTGTTGATTCAGCAGAGACAATGGGTCTAGTGTTGCAGGGCATAGAGTTCCAATTACATAGCTTTTTCCATCATATACCGTATCAACATTTCTTATAGATATCATTTGATATGCAGAAGACGTCCTCCTTATTAGCTTAGCTTAACAAATCCTTATAACTCCACGAGATTACTTCATTCACTCCACGACGTATTACTTCATAGCAACTAAAATAATCATTAGAAGTTACTCATGTTAGTTGTTGTCTCGGCGTTTTTTTTTTTTTTTTGTCTCGTAACCCTTTCCGCACTTTAATAATTGTATTTATTGGTTTTACATACAAAAGATGATATTTAGTTACAACTAAGTATTTATTAACTAAATATCTTATATTTGAAATCGCCCTTCAATGGCAAAGCGCACTAAACAGTTAATTAATGAATACTTTTATTAAAAATATCTCTCAGTACTATTATTATTATTATTATAGATGCGCTTAAACACTTACATGTTTAAGATGACAAGTGTTGCATAATGCTGATTGTTTTTAAATAATGTTATTAATTAAGAACACTGCTACCTATACTAATAATACTTATACTTTTTAATGTAACGGCTTACATTTTCTCACAAATTTCTCACAAAATTATTATTTAATTTTATGGGGAGAAAAAGGAAAAAAAAAAAAATAAATAAAATAAAAAGTGAAAAATATAAATGTAAAATTTAAGAAACTAACTTGTAGACTTTTGTTAGAATTGATATAATAATATCGTATGTTAAAAATAAT